TACTGTGGCCAGCAGTTCTCTGCCGCCATCTTCACCATTTGCTTCCTGCTTGAATTTTAGGAGATGAGAAGAATATTTTATTGAAGAGCAATTTCTTCCCATGGGTAATGGAGTCTAGAGGAGGTTTCTCAAGTGCATGGTAGTTCACTGACACTTATACTTTAAATACCATAATTTTAAATACCATGGCAGTTCCCTTTTGTGAAATGTCAATACAGATTCATCTTAATTTCCCAGTCTTGGATTGCCTCTGCCATGACTAGGTAACAAATGAAGAGCGAAACTGGATGGAATTGATCCTTTCTACCATAGGTTCAGAAATGCCTTGGATGGCAGTTTTTTGGGGTGTTTTTTGTACTTGCTGTATTGAATCCAGGCTGGATCTGCTATTTGTGTAGCCTTTCTTTAGACACATTTTTTAAGTTGCTGTGTGATTTCTTGATGTATTTCAAATATGTCCATCAGCCCTTACTCCTGCCCCTCCAGTGTGTGGTCTCTTAGTTTCTGGAAACCTGGGTTCAGGAGGACTTACCAGTTCCTTTAAAAACAGCCAAATTCTCCCTTCTCTTTGCTTTAGCTGGTTATAATACTGTAAGGTCAGATGACCCACATGTGCCTGTGTCCTTTTTTCACTTCTCTTCTGTCATTTCCTGATATCCCAGTAATTTTTATTATCCTGAGCCCATTTCAACCAAGCGTAACAGAGAAGAACATAGATTGCAGAGGTAATGCTGTCCTTGAAAGCTTCTCAAGGCTGACATCACTGAAGGAGCCGAATAGATGGCTGCTTTTGGGTAAACGTAAATCTTGCCACATGCAGATTTGCCTGAAAACTTGAAACTTGTGCGGTAGGAGACACAGTGATGATCAAAGGAGAAGAAAACTCTTTTCGTAACAGTCATGCAATGGGAGGAGGAATTGCACAGGAGTGCTGGAATAGTGCAGCACATGCCTTGAAATGTCCTATAGGCAGTCATGATCCTGGTATCTATATCTGTTACCTATGAGGTGCTGAAGACCTGAAGAAGATGGATAGCCCCTTCATGTTCAGGGTATCTCCAGAGATCACTGCAGAATGGAAAGGTACGTTTCTGCTCTGGAAGAAACGATTGTGCTTTCCATAGGAACCTTATAAGCAACGACCAAACAATGCTTGAAAACCTCAGGAAAACTCTCAGAGAACAAAAAGAATGTAAAATGGAAAATCAGGAATTCCTCAGTGGAGTTCTCCAGAGTCAAACGATGTGACTTGGACTAAGCTGTTACTGTTTTCTCATTTTTCCTGCATTTATGGGCAGCGTATGAGAAATGCATTTTGTGTGTGGAATTGGAACTTGGAAAACTAAGTTCTGTTTGGGAGCAAGACTTGTGTCTGGTAAATGGCTAGCTGTGTGACTAGTGAATCACTACGGTGTTTGAAATGCTCTTTTATATTTGCAGGGTCTCCTAGGTAAGTATAGGTTTGAATTTGGGTTGGATTGTGTATATATCAGGCCTATTGCAAATAGGAAGAATTGCATTTGGGTTTTGGTTGTTATTTTTTCCTTCCCTTGTTAAGAAAAAGTAAGATCAGTGGACTATATAAAAAGGAAACAGACATGATTTGAAGGTGTTTAGTTTCTTGTTTGTTTTTGGTCTCTTGTTACTAGTATGTGTTCTTTTGATAAACAGTTATTTGAAAACAGAATTTGCTTCTTCTCTGGCTGCTCACTCAGAAGGAGGAGATAGGAAAAGGTCTGGGGAAAAAATATTGAACTAAAAATTATATAGCTCTCTAATAAATACTTACAATAAATAATTGTCCTGAATAGATTCTCCCTCTTCTTGATGGGGTATCAGTATGCTTTGGACAGAAGAAAGAGTTCATTTTCCAGAAACTTGACTTTGTTCCAGATCATTCCAGCATCTTTTTCTTCCAGGTGTGGTCAAACATTAAATATTGCTTATGGCTTTACTGTGGTAGCTCAGTGTAATGCACAATATGTGCTTTGGGCCTTCTCACCTTTTGGGGCCAGAATAGCTGAGAGTGTGAAACGGAGCTCTTGCAGCATTCACCGCCACTAGCTCTGATCAGGAAAGTGCAGGCACATGACTTCTGCTCTTCCAGAGCCAGAGGCTCAGGTTTTGACAATTCACAGTCTGAAGTCTGCCAGGAGGAGTAAGGCTGCAAGAGTAAGAGGTGGTCCTTGTTAGAAATTTTAGAAATAAATAATTTTGAAGCCTTAATTTGGCAGGGTTTTCAGAGCAGATAAAGGGTAGCCTCTGAATTCAGACCTCAAATGACTGAAGTAAGCCTGCTTGAAGAAATGGGATCCAGTAAATCTTAGAGAGGCAAAAGCACAGTTGCTTTCCACTTTCTTAGTTCTTCTTCCTCTTGAAACTCTTGGAACTTCTCCTTTTTCTCCCTTCCTGGAATTGTTCTGGCTCAAAATACACCTGTAAAATAAGATGATGTCCAGAAGCAGTCATTGAGTCTGGAAAATGTAAATTCACTATATGGTTTCAAGAAGATGTTAGCTTTCATAGAAAGAAAAACAACAGCAAATGAAAAAAATCCAACACATGAAGCATTGGGCAACTCTTCACATACATGCTACTACCACACGCTCCCAGCAGCAGTTGTCTGGCTTCTTAGTGTGTTAGTACAGACTGCTTGCTCTGATGACACTGTATCTGTTGCTGAGGTTGTTTTGCTGCTTTTTGTTTAAAGACTGGGAGTATGATGATGCCTCAGTCCTTGTGGTTACTGAATTATTTAGCTAAGACCAGTCTACCTCAGAACTCTTAACACAGAAGTTGCTCTTTGAAGTTGTGTGGAGAATTGCCGGGGCTCAGATGTCTTGGCTGAGGGATTTCTGTTGCTAGCAGTGTGAAGCACAGCAGCTACTTCAGGGTAATTTATCACCTGTTTTCCTACAAAGTAATGGCTCACTTTCTTTTCCCCAAGTGGACTTTGGATGCTCTTCAGAAAAAGTGCTAGTTGAATATGTGAAATTCAGTGATACATCCTATTTTACACTTCATAATTCTAACTAAAAACTACCGGTATAATAACAAAAAAACATATAAGAGAGGAACTACAGGAACTTGCTTTTGGAGGACACTAAATCAAGTGAGAATTACCGTAGTTGTGGTTTAAAACAGTTTATATGCACTCTGTTGAGTGATGGAAGAAGGCTTTACTACAGCTGCACTTAGTGTTTAACCTTGGAAGAGAGGATTCCTTACAAAGGAATGCTAAAACTCTTTATCCCTATTGGATACACTTCCTTTCTTAATGTACTCTGGTTTCCTCTGACCTTGTACTGGCCTTATAAAACAGCACAGGTTGGTGTGTTGATGTGCCAAAGAGCCACATAAAATACTTGCATGTTGCTGTTATCCCCGGATACGTCACATTTCAAAACCTGTGAGTTGTAAACACATCTTGTAGAAATGAATAGGAAACATTTACTCAAAGGCCTGTAAGCTATGGATCTGGCTTCTTTTCTGGTGTTCTGTCATCATTGCTCCGTGCATGTATACCACATGATACCATACGCACCTTCCTGCAGTTACCAGCATACTCTTTCTTCAGAGACTACCTTTGCTTTAGAGTGTACTTTCTGAAGAGTTCAGTGTCTTGTGGTGTGGTCCATTGTGTCGTGGGATAATTTGAAAAAGAAAAAGGGAGAAAAAAATGTAACCACATCTCTTGTTGTAAAATTGTTTTTTTTACTTTAGTTGTTTTCTTCTAGGCTGGTGGTACCACAAGACTTGGCTGGTGCTTGCCCTGGGCATCATGGTGGAAGCATCTGCATCACTGTAGCTAAGGGCAGTGTTCTCTTCTTGCTGTAAAGAGTTGCTGTGCAGTGAAGTAAAAAATGCGTAGTACTTGAGACCATAATGAGATTCTGCAATCATTTGTTAAACACATTTTGATGCTATTGTTAGTATTTGGTGTTTCATGAACAACTGTGCTGGTGCTGTGAAATAGATGTAGTTTCTGTCCTGAAGAACTGCAGCAAGAGATGTGATTTATATAACTCATGTTCTTTTTGCACTCAGTTTTATATAAATGATACTGAATAAAGGCAGTATTAATTATAGCATTGTCTTTTTTGAGTTTGGCTTTTGCAGCCTGAAACATACTTCTATGAGTGTCTCTTGTCTTTCTTACTCTCTCAAAGACACTAATTTGCTTGATATCTCTGTATTCCTCATTTTCTTCTTCAGATATTTCCTTACTCTTTCTATAACTGTCATTGTCCAAATTTGCCTACAGATCCCAAATTCTTAGAACTTTTTGCGATGTTCATTATCTCTGTCTTTCTTGGGCACTTCAGTGCTTGGCTTCTCTCAGCAAGCAAGAGAAGCTTGATGATGTACAAGATCTAGACTTCTGGTGCTGTTTAGTGGTTGTGGACTCAGCATGACATAGAGCTATAGGTTGTGGTGGGGGTTTACAACTAGTCCAGATAGACCTTTGTCTCTGAGGGTTGTTGTCTTCCACCTGAGGATCGGCTTACCTGTCTGTCTCCTGGACTTGTGCCTGGGCCAGTGACATTTACCACAGACGTTCATGCAAAGAGGTCAAGTTGGTCTTGTTTTCTGGGAATTGTGACCCTCTGTGTTAATAGTTTTACTCCAATGTAGAATGTTGGTTAAATTCACATGGGTCTTCGGGGGACTGTTAGGAGTACCTGCTTGGCAAATTTACAAATTGGTACTCCAAAGCATTGAGCAATTTAAATTTGTTTTGAGAGGCCATTTGACTAGTTTTAAGTTTGAATGTTTCAATCATTGTGGAAATTACACAAATTGGAAAAAATTCAACCCAAGCAGGTGAAATCTCACAAATAAAGTACCTGAAAGCAGGCCATAGGGAACTTGGAAGGCACCTAACGTGTGCCAGCAGTGCTACATAGAGCACCGTAAATTGTACTGCTGCAAAAGCATCTCTGACCTTTGTAAATTGTTACCCTCACCTTTGCCCACTTCTGTCTCTTATCTTCTCCCAGCAAAAGCCAAATCCAAATGTGGCGCCACATTCTTCCCCTGTGCCAGTGGGATCCACTGCATCATTGGCCGCTTCCGCTGCAACGGCTTCGAGGACTGTCCCGATGGCAGCGATGAGGAGAACTGCAGTAAGTGTGGGTCTGTGTGTGTGAGGGCACTGCTGCTTCTTTCAACTAATTAATACCACTTAGAAGAATTCGATAGCCTTTAGTTTCTGAGTCAAATATTCTCCCTGTCATTTACAACCTACATAATCCTTGTATTTTCACTTTATAAATCAGTCTGTGTTGTGGGGGTTTTTTAAGGTCCAGCTCACTCTTGCTTTACATATAATGCCTGTATGATATTTCAAGCCTCTTTGTGACTTTGAAATGAGTTTGTGACTTTTGAATGAGTTTTAAGCTTCATATTTGCTTTGAACATGTTCCCTGTACTCAAATGTAGCTCAAATTGGGCAAATATTAAGTATCACTTTGAATTGTTCCGTTTTTGTTTGCCTGTTTCTTGTCACTGAAGAATATGATGTATTTGTTAATCAGTACGTTTAGGTGTCTCTGTTTATACATGTTCTCAAACAACAAAAAAGCAAATAATGGCATATTTTGAGAAACAGGTTCTTGGAAAAAGGAGGTTTTTGGAGGCAGGCATGCCTGCCAATGTGCTAACTTCACAGAATATTCTGAGTTGGAAGGGACTCACAAGGATCATCAAGTCCAGCTCTTAAGTGAATGCCCCGTATGGGGATCAAACCCACAACCTTGGTGTTATTAACACCATGCTCCAACCAACTGAGCTAATCTCAGACTGAGCTGCTGTTCAGCAACTTGCAGGGAAGTTGCAGCACAGAGTTCATCTGAAGTACTGCTTGACTTGGGCTAAACTCTGTGCATGTGGCTGTGTAGATCCTTTTGTATCTGTAAGTCTAGCAGGGATATATCATAGCAGTAAGGACAAGTTATGTTCAAGCCAGCAGCTCTGTTGTTATTATCAAGAGCTGATAAAAGCATGGGTCTGTAGGTAAAAGCTTGCAGGAAAGTACTTGCTTGCTATCTTGTTGGAGCTTGCTGAGTATTCCTTTTTAATAACATTTAAAGGTCAGGAGGAGGACAACAGACACCAGCTTTCAAAGATAACAAAAGGGGCGATCTTTACAGTAATCTATCACTGTCTGCTTCTTGGAGGACTTGCCTTTCTTGTTCATGTGCTTTCCCCCACAGCATGAATATCTCTTAAGGTGCCGTCTGTTGTTGGCCTAGAGAGTCTGGTTTGAGCCCTGGGAAGACTGTGGCAGTGATGTAGCACTTCTGGAGAGCAAGTGAAGCTAGAGGAAGATTGAAGGCTAAGGAAATTCCTCTGGGTTATGCTTAAACAAATGGACTAGAAAAAAGTTTTGACAAAAGTGCTTTGAGTACCCTTGAGGTAGTGGACTGATAAGCAGCAGGTCTCAGCTGGAAGTGCACCAGCTCCTGAAGTTTGTTATGAATGAAACAATTTCCCGTGAGCTTGTAGTGTGTAGTTCCAACGAGACTTTACAGCTGACGATAATATGCTGCTGATCTCCCTGTTTCTTTATGCCATTTAAGCATACTCTTGGTATTTTCTAGCATTCTGAATGTCAGTCGCTACTTATGAAGAGGAACAACAATGTAGGCCCTAAGGTGACCTCGAAAATCAATGGTGTACAAGCATGCAGTAGTTTTAAAGCAAAGGATCTTTAGCATGTTCATGATAAACATGCTTTTGGGAAGCTGGAGAAATTGGGAGTGTTTGTTACATATACTGCAGGTTATATGCAGGGCAGACTTTAAAGTTTTATATTTTTTTTTAAAGACTCTTTAAATCCAGCTCTTACTTTAAAGAATAAAAAATAGGAAGCCGGTTAGTATTTGGAAACTGAAATGCCCTTTGTTATTGTGGCAGAGAAGAAGTTTGAAGCAGACAGGGCATCTAAACAGCTTTTTTAAGGTTTTCAATTAGAAAGTTTCATTCAGTTTGTCACCTCATTACCAAAAACTGTTGGGAGTCAGAGAAGAGTGCCAACAATGATTAAGGGAGAGAGGTTGGTTTATGAGTAGATATTAAAAACAGCTAAGTTACGCATATCTTGGCTAAGCAATGACAGTTGGAGGTTAAGGCTATATATGGTGTATATGAAGGGTGCAAACGCTGTTCAAGGAGGGAACGTGTAGTTATATGTGCTGGGCTATAGCTAAGAGTAGAGGGCTGAAATGAGAAAAGAGAAATATGTATCAAGAAAACCTCCTTGACAGTGAGATGCATTGAAGCTGTGATGTAATCTGCTAGAAGTGTTGAAAACTACACTGCTTGAAGCTTTAAATGAAAATAGGCATGGCATCTTAGAACATCTTACTGCTGGGTTTGGCATGAGTGAGAAGACTACTCTACCTAAATGAGTCTGCTTAAATACTATTCTGTTTTTGCTGTCTGTGCAACAGTGGGCCTTATGTGAAAGGATTTTCTGGACGCTACTGTAATGTGCATATTACCCTTAAAAAGGAGTTGAAATTCAAACAATGAGAAGTTGAGAGATCTCAGCAGTGCCATTGTATCAATTCAAAATAGTGAGGAGAATGGGGAAGGAGGAAAAAAACAGAAGCAAGGTAAATAAACCACTGCCTGGCAGTTCTCAGCCAGGATCATTGTCCGATAATATGAAACTTAAACTAAACTGAGTTTGTTGAAGAAGGAATCGACAGGAGGTGTTTATGGTAGGCAGTTCAAGTCCATATGTCTTCAGTGTTAGCAAATGTGGAACAGTGATCATGATTGGGGCTCTCATGAAAATGAACAGAAGGCTTATCACAGCTGTGGGTGGAGTAAATCTCTGCTAATTGTAATGAATCTTGCAACGAATTAGAAGTTTCAACTTTCCTTGTTTAGAGGGAAGGTTGTTTGACTGCCAAGTTACTCTCACATATTCAGCAGACTGACCAACTGTTGAGTTGTGACCTGTTGTCATTGCTTGCTTGTGAGCTATTTAACCGCCTGGGTAAGAGAATTTCTAATGAAAGATCTCACTTTCTCTTTTTGCAGCAGCAAATCCCTTGCTTTGCTCTACTGCCCGATTCCACTGTAAAAATGGTCTTTGCATTGATAAAAGCTTTGTGTGTGACAGTCAAAATAACTGCCAAGACAACAGTGATGAAGAAAGCTGCGAAAGCCCTCAAGGTAGGCACAGAGTTTTTATTCTATTCTGCAATGATATTCCAACTCAAATTAACGCGGAACAGGCTCAGCAGAAAATAAGATTCTGTTGGCTTGCTCTAAGTTGGCTAGAGCTGCGGTTTCCTCATTCTGCAAATAATGAAGTGTGTAGAGTGTGTGTGTGTGCATGCATACATTTCATTTTCAGTGCTCAGAAGACTGGTATCTTTTTCAGATTATTAAAAACACATTTTTGCAGGAAGTGCTTATAATCTGTGATCCAGCGCTCACTGAAGTTGCTGGGAATCCATTTAGTAACTTCTGCGAGATGGATTGGACCCAGGGGGATTGATAGTAAAAGTACAGTTGAAAGTGAATCTGTCTATTTACCAGATGAGTAAATCTTGTGTAGCCTTAAAACTTTAGATCCTCACTGCTCAGTTACTTTCTGAAAGGCATGTTTCACTGCAGGACAAGTCTACAGTGAAAGCATTTATTCCTACCCTTCCTTGTTTCTGTATTTAGAGTAAAGGATGAAGGCGGAAGAAAATTTTTGCTTGGAACTTGTTGGTATTGAATCTTGTGAGAATCTCAAAACACAGTCTTTGATTTAATTTTTTTTCTTTTTTAACCTATGCTAAAGTCTACATCTAGTGCTGGATATCTTCAGGGGAGGTGTGATATGCTTCTACCTAAAGAAAGCAGGGCATGTGAAGAGAGAGAGAGCAGGGTATGAAGGAATAAGTAATTAGTGAAATTGAAGGAGAATGACTTTAATATATAGCTGCACTGATCATTTAGTCTTTTGTGGAAAACAATCCTGAGCTTAACACGGTGATAAATATTCTTGACAACTCACAGAGGAAGAGGGAAGACATGCAACAGCAATGCCAACAAAACAAGGTTTGTAGCAATGGTGTGTGACAATCTCTTCTGTGTCATTCCTCCACCTAACCTGTGAGCTCTTTCCTGTGGCTCCACATGAAAGGGCTGAAGGGGTCATCCTGGTAAGGCATCTGTGTGCTGAGCTACATCACACCCTGGGAACTGGCCTTGGATCAGGGCCTCGGAGAATGGGTCTGGCCTGCCCCTACTCTCTGTCTGGAGGGGGGAGGAAAGGGCTGGTGAGGGACTAGCGCGTGCCGAGGGACAAATTGTTCTTCACTACAGGTCTAAGGCAGCATAATAAGATTAATGTGATTGGTAAGGTTTTGTGTTGGGTTTCTTTTTCTTTCTCTTTTTTAGCTTCTGAAGCTTAAAGCAGCAGTGCTGTTTTCCAAGGTTGGGATGACTTCTTCCTTTGCAGATTAATTGGCTGGATTGCCTCCAGGTTGTTTGTTGTCATGACAATCTGCTTTTGAAAGTGACTGTGAGGCGCAGGAGAAGAAATGAGCTGTATTTCATGAAGCACTTACTCTTGTCTCTATATTTGGTCCTCCGGGAAATGTCAGAATAGAAAGAGGGTTAAGCAAAGTAATTCTGATTATATATGAAAGAGAGCCAAACAAGGAAAAAAGAACTCTTTCTCATTAAGACAAGAGTATCCATGGTTTGTGGGCTCTTTTATTTAAAGAAAAAAAATCTGAGTATGAGGTTGGGAATGAGGAGTTCCCAAAGTATAATGCTGGTTGTGGGATGTGATTGGTTTTGCCCTTTGGCAGCTCAGAGCCTCCCTGAATTGCCATTTCACCATCTGGAAGTGGATGATGCTTGCGTACCTGTCTTTCAAAGCAATGATTAAACAGTGTTCAACTGTTCAACTTCCCATCTCAATGTAAATGACAGTTCCTTCTGGAGTTTTCAGCTGTGGGTATGTCTGTCCTGGCTTCTAAACACACCAACTACTTTGTGTTAATTGGGAGTTAGAGGCTACTGTGGACAGTCTTTAATTTCTCACAATTCTTTCTACAGCAGATCTAATTACTGTAATTACAATGTTAACATAGTACCCAAGAATCCTGGTCATTAACTAGAACTCAAGTGCTCTGGGTACTTGGGGACAGAGCAAAGCAAATCTGTAATGTGTTATAAAATGAAGATAGAGGGTTTTCTTCCCACTGGCTATGTTATCACATCAAATGTGGTAGCTTTAGTTCAGTGTAATTGAGTGTAGTCTGACATGTGAGATTGCCCTTGTGTGCTATTTTTCTATCTATAAATGTGTTGATTTACAAGTCACCAAGGTTCTGAACCACTGTATGATAGTGTCATTATCACCATTTAACAGATGGGGAAAAGAGGGCATAGATCAGCTAAACAAAATGATCCTGGAGTGCCATCCTGGCTGGTGGGAGCAGAGCTTCATCCATGCTTGTCTGCTTCAGGGGCATGTCATTAAACTTAATCAATGTTTGCAAACTGGTTTGAGATACTGTGATAACATGGGAAATAGAAGTGTTAATTATTAATTGATGCTTGGCTCTCCTTCTGCTCTTGGGTATACTGACAAGCTTTTTAAATTACCACCTCTTCCTACTCTTCCATGAACTTCAAAGGTCTCCTTTATCCTGCTGTCATTACTGGAAAGCTCCAGTAGCATATCAGTTTGGTTTGTGTCAGATACTCCTCCATGCGTAAAGATCCTTTCAGTCAAGAAGGGTCACTCTGCAGGCTAGGAAAACAGGAATGTGACCTCCTATTGAAAAATATGCTGACCCAGCTTTGACATGGAACACTTCAAAATGTGCCATCCTTGATGAATAATAGCTTTACTAGCATGCTGCAATTTGGGATGAGCCTGAAGAAGTGCATTTATAAGCATTAATTTCAGTCATAAGTGCTAGCAGACTCATTTGAGAGGAGGGAGACAGAGTCCCCAGGATTTAGTTGTGAAAATGAGAGGAAGATCAAATTTTGCAGGATGTGTTCCTGCCCTCCTTTCTCCTTGCCACTTGTGACTGAGTATTGCATGTCTTACAAGGGTTTGTATGTCATGGGGAAAGTGCCAGATTAAACAGTGACAATTTAGCAGCAAGTCAAAGAATTCTACTGTAATTCCTGACAGAAATTATTTGTAGCTCTTGTTACTGCCATGATAAACTTCAGGGCTGTTCCTTTAATCCCACTCCAGCTAAACTTTGGTCATCTCAGTTTTCCAGCATTGAAGTAGTACGGCCAAATACTTCCCTTTGTCTGGAATGTGGTGTATTCATCAAAGCATGTGCTTCAGTTTTTGGGATTGGATGGAGGATATAATTGCTTGGATTATCCACAAGTCGAATATATGAATTACTCTTTCTAGGGCGTTATTCTGGTTTTAACACCAGCAGTGATTGGAAATTTCTGCTCCTGTTCTGTACTTAATGGATCTTAATTTAGTAAAGTTCCTCTCCCCCACACACTTCTTTCTCTTACCACTCTAAGATCTCTCCCTATGCCTCGAATTAGCTGACAGTGCTAATCATTCATAGCATCTGCTCTGGGTGTACTCCGTGGGCCTGCCTGTTGTTGGGTGGATTTCCTGTTCTGTGACAGGCATCCACTCAATTGGAAAGGAATTTCTCCTTCTTAATATTTTCCAACAACTGTGTAAATTTGTTCAACTCTAGGACTGTATTTAATTTATTCTCTCAGTTGTGGGGTTTTATCTAGAAGTGTCCTCATAGTGCTTCTTTCCTTAGTTTCTCCTCCATTTTGTACTTAGAATTTAGAAGGCTTTAACACCAACAAAAGCACACTGGATATTTTGATTCAAACGTGTTTTCCTTTTGTGGCCCTTCTTTTCTTTCCATCTAAGTTTGCTAAATAGCTCCACTAGCTTTAACCCCGTTGCCTAGGAAAGGGAGTTTTATTGCTGCTAGTCTGTATTCATTCTGACTGCTGCTGTAGAGAGGGGCTCTTGACTTCAGTAATGTTTCTGAAATTCTAGCTCTGCAGTTGTTTGTAAACAGTACCGTTGCAGTCGGGTTATAAACCAAACTCTTTGGAAGTGTTCAGAAGTTAATTCTTGCCATATGTTTCTACAGTGTATTTGGTAATGTCCACTGTTGCACATGTGGGTACCTCCTTCTTTTATTTTTTGCATATCTTTTCATTGAATTTGCATTAGGATTTTTATATACCCCAGTATTCTAAAACAGGTTTAGAAGCATACAGAGTTTAAAAGTGCCCTTTTCTCTGTGGCATATATAAATTGCTGGTATAAAAATTGTCAACATATGAAAAAAAATTCTGACCCTGTGTCAAATGAGTGGAAAACCCTTCAAAATGTTGACTTAATAAAATTAATCTTTAGGTGATAGTATGAATGCTGTAATGGTAATTTCTGTGGATTAAGGTATAGAAAAAGCAGCAGACTGGCTGTAGAGGTAAGCACTATGGCCATTGCTGCCGTTTGCATGATAGTGTTGCAATGCATATTGGATTTTAGAATTGATAGCTAAGTGGAACAGACGTACTCTAAATTTCAATGAAATACCACAAAACCTAAATTTTGAAACACAAATAGCTCCCAGAACATCTGACTCCATGAGGAGCTTCTAACTAGCCCTTTGGACATGGTAAATTAAAATTCTGAAATTCCCAAATGCTGTGGTATCACTTAAACATCCCAAAGCTTTGTAGTGTGATCCTGGCAGCGTACGTTTCCTTTTATTGAGTCTCTTTTTGGCTCATTATTGACTCAGCTTGTACACTGAAGCTCAACTCACAATTATTGTGCATAATCTTAGCCCAGATTCAGCCTGCAGCAGGAATTTAATACTCAGAGGCAGACTGAATAGAAGCAGAAACTTAAGGAAGGATGCAAATAGAATGTCACTGAATGTTTTGTTAAATGAAGGTTTTGCCTGAGCATATTTAGCTCTCTAATATCCCTTTTTATAACACTAGCTAGATGGAAATGGTTTTTTTCTTTCATTCCTGTGTTCTTCTAGTCCCTAAATCCAGGCTTCCTCTTCTTTCCTTTTTTCTCTCCTCATAAGATTATTTATTTGAGAGAGTACTTGTCAAGAAAAAAATGGATCCATCTGCATGGAGACTAATAGGCAAGGTGAGCTACAGGAGGCAGATGTTTGTGTCGTTGG